GTAATTAGGTTTATTACATTTTATTTAAGTAGGAGGTACTGGGGATCAAACCCAGGACCTCTCGCATGCTAGACACGTGCTCTACCACTGGGCTAAACCCCCACCTCCCTGTAGCTGCTTTTTAAAGACAACATCTATATCACATTTAGCTGTTTCATCTTCATCCAAATTCCTGAAAGTTGTAATAATTCACTTTTCAGGGAGCAAGAAAAATAATCTTATTAAAAAGTAAAGTCAGGGGAGGGTATAGCTCAGTGGTAGAGCGCATGCTTAGCATGCATGAGGTCCTGGGTTCAATCCCCAGTACCTTCATTAAAATAAATTTAAAACTAAAATTTAAAAAAAAACCTAATTACTCCCTAAAAAAAAAAAAAACCCAAAATAAAAAACTCAACAAAAAGTAAAGACAGAATCAAAAAATAATGTTAATTTCGTAAGAGACTCATTTCCTATACCGTAACACCTCAGAAACACAATTTGATGATTCTTTTCAAGAAAAGAAAAAGATTAACCCTCCTAAAGTTACACCTTTGAGGGGAAGAAGCAAGCCAAGAACTTCTCAAAAAATGAAGGGATGAGAATGAACGCAAGAGCAAACCCCCCCACAGATCTCACACGTGCCTGACACTCTCTGTGCTCTTGGAGGCTGGGATGCTGAATCTACTGGACCTTTTTTTTTAAATTTATTGAAGTACAGTCGATTAGAATGTGTCAATCTGTGGTGCACAGCACAGTGTCCCAGTCATGCATATACATACATATATTCGTTTTCATTTTTTTTCATTAAAGGTTATTACAAGATACTGAATATATTTCCCTGTGCTATACACACAGGGGAAGAACTTTTTTTTTAATCTCTTTATATATAGTGGCTAACATTTGCAAATCTCAAACTCCCAAATTTATCCCCTCCCACCCCCTTTCCCTGGTAACCATAAGATTGTTTACTATGTCTGCAAGTCTGTTTAAAAAAAAAAAAAGGACACTACCGTACCTTCTTAATATTCCTTTGAAACTCCTTATGGCGCACAGGGAGCGTATAGAATAACTGCTGCACGCTGACCGTCGTCCCCCTGGGTCGTGGGTAGGGGGTTTTCTGGAGGATTTTTCCATTGTGATCAAACACCAGTCGCGTTCCGACCTTCGCAGATGTGTGGCAGGTAGAAATCGCTAAGTCACTGTAAAAGAATGCCAGCAGGGCACGGGGTCAGAGCCTCACCATACTGGACATCCCGTGCTCAGGTGCTCACTTCTGTTCTCTCAAAGCTCTCCTAAAAAGGTGACGATCTCTCTGAGATAATCCAGAGAGTTTAAATTGGTGAGGAGTTATCATAAAAACCTAAGGTTTGACACCAAATAGTGAGAGAGCTCTGTAAATGTTTTGTTGTGATCAAAGCTTTGACATTTGTTTTTGTTAAACCACAAAACAACGAAAGATTTCAAAACTGATATATGCATGAATGAAGATTCATTTTTCAGTGTTGTTACTACTGTTCTCACAAAATTTTTTAAATTTAGAAACCATTGTGTAATGAAATCAGTGCTTTGGTCCAGTTTTTTCCTAAATGCTGAAGTAAATTCAAATCCACAGCATCTACAATGTATTACCTATATATTCTTTTTAAATTGAGAAGTTACTGCTTTAATCAGGGTAACAATTTTTTTCACAAGACTGTTTGCTTCCCTTCATTCATTCATTGCTTACATTTTTAGAAGTATTACCATTTTAGGTTGGTAGTGAGATAAAGCAGAATGCAGAAGTTAGAAGTTGAGACATTCAGATATAACAGTGTAAACAATAATGATTCTAAGCACACTTTTTAATTTTCAGAGAGATTTTTATAAAGGGTCAAGTGAGTGGATAAAAATGTTGCATCACCTCAGTGCACAGAGTGAGCTCAGAGCTTCCCCCCGAAAGCCAAAAGTTTCAACCTGAGTTAGGTCAGCAAACTTCTGAATCTTAGAAGTGTGATGCTTCAGAGCTGAAAGAAAGGTGTAAAGTAAGGCCATAGAGATTTCAAGTGATATAGCCATGAACACGTAATACCCATCAAAGTGACTGGTTTTAAAAAGCTGGTTTTATACTTTCTAAGACAGCATTACCCAGAATCCTGAGACATTTTGCCCAAATATTTTAAAACAGGATTAGAAAAAGTCAACTTACTTAAGCCTTCGAAGTTTTCTTCTTCTACCCCACATCCATTGTCTGAAACTTCAATGAGATCCACCCCATAATCTTTAAGCCGGAGATCTAAAAATTTAAAATATTTCTCAAATTGATCGTGCTAAAAGCCTTTATATGAACAGTATTTAGAACTTACATAATGCAAATGTGAGTCCTAACTCTATTTATTTAAATCTACGATTGTCATTTGGTATACTTTACTTTTAAAAGTCCTTCTTAGCTATTTACCAGCCCAGATAACATAGTTTTTCCTTCCTTTCCCTTGAAAGGATCATTTTAACATAGTCATTAAAGAGAACAACCTCTGGACTCAGACTCCTTGCATCAGATATTATCAGCTTTACAACATCAAAAAAAGTAAATTCCCTGTGCCTTAATTTCCTCACTTGTAAAATGGAGATGATGATAATAATAGTAACAATTCCTATCTCATAAGGTTATTCTGCATATTAAATGAGGTATCCCAGCTTAGCACAATGCCTGCCTAGCACAGAGGAAGAACACAACAAAAATTAACCACTAGCAGTAGTATTATTACTACCTAGCTAACTCCTGGGCACATAATAGGCGCTGAATTTAAGTTTAAAAAACAATAATTTCTCAGTACACCAATACTTGATTGCCTACTATAGTAACAAACATTTCTTGAATAAAACAGCATCAACTGATCACTTCTGTGGCTTAAAACTCTCCCAAACTTACCAATATTAGTGGCACCAGCATCCACACTATTTTCTACCAACTCCTTCACAGCAGTGCTTAGGCTAAGTACCACTTGCCCAGAACAAATCTGATGGACTGACTTCCGATCGATAGGTTTGATGGCCTTAGCACATTCGGAACTAAAGAAACCAGTCACAAGAAACAAAGCAAATATGCAATTACGTATTTTCATCCTGGTTTGAACTGTGAGAAATGAGTCATCTCTGTTAATAGTTAATGGGTCTTATCCATTCATTATATCAACATATCCATTTATCATATTCATAAATACATGTGGTTCTATAATCCTGAAACATTTGTCAAAAAAACTTCTGAATAGATACTTCAAAATGCAACAGATATTTAAAAATCTAATAACACTGGGATTTGCATGAAAGAGACACATGTTCCCCTCAAGCTATGGGACAACCATCTTTTGCAATGATGGCATCTTCTTTCTTGAAAATTGAAGGCAACATTTCCCATACAATTTGAAAAACCAAAAGTTTGGTGCAAAATCAAGAGTTTTTGCGTCAAAATCAGAATCATCTTAGAACCTGGGTATTATCCCAGTTGGACAGCTATCTCTACCGTTGCCTCTGAATTCCAAATCCAGGCTGCCAGCTCCTGCCTTACCAAAGGCCCCCAAAGTTCTGGCTGTACCTACTTTCAGAATTTTCCAACTAGTTTGTCTCCACTTTCTTTCTAATCCAATCAATCCTCTATGCTACCACCAGAGTTGGTCAAACAATTTTTCTTCTTAAGAACTTACTAGTATCCCACTGTCTGCTATATGAAGTTTAAAATCTAGTCATAATTGGACCCCAAGCTACCTTATTTTCTCCTTCTCTCCAATTTTCCTCCCACTGCCAATTCCCCTACAATCTGGTTACAGTGAACAACTGTTTCCTGAAAATCACAAGCTCATTTATACACTGCACCTTGTCTATATAGGTCTCTCCAGACCTCTCCCCTCCTCCTCCGCCCGGCAAACTCCTGCTCATCCAAAAAATGTATTCCACGTGTTGATTAACTTATCAATTTCTAGTAAACGGTTTCACTGAAAATTTGTGTGTAACCAAACACAGGAGAGAGAAGTCTTAGGGTACTTCCCACAGCATTTAACATATAGTAGTAGACACTCAGTAAACCCTTGCAAAACAAAGGAATAAACATCTTTACTCTTCATTCTACCTCGCAAAGAATTCCACTCACGTTAATTTTAAATGTGAAAACTGCAGATGACATCACATAAAATGGAAAGAAGTTGTCAATAAAAATTTGTTAATTTGGCAAGCCACCATCAGCTACAGGTCCATTCCTCGTATTTATTTAGAGGGGTGGCGATAAAACATCTAAACACAGACAGCGAATCTGGGTTCCAGAATCTGACACTTAGTGCAACAGGGCTACCCAAACATTCGCAACCCCGAATTCGATGCACTTTAGTAGCCAGTAATCGTATACTCAAGGTGACATGGAAGTACTGCGTTTTTTAAAACCGTGCGGCTATGCAAATCAGCATGTGTTTTGAAGTCTCCCCTAAAATACCCTTAATTTAAAGAGAGAAACCAGGTAGAAAAGAAATAAACTCCGTCCACAGGGATTTCAAGCTCCGGCTTCAGTCCACGGATGCATGGCGGCGTCGGGGCACAGTCTGCCTGGGAGTGGGCCGAATGCCCCGCGGACCCCGACCTCCAGTGCACCCAAAGGGCCAGCGGGTCCGGGGAGCGCTGAGGAGCCCTCTCCGGGGCCTCTGTGGGCGGGGTCGCCCAGCGCCGCGGCCACTTTTCCCTGCTTGCCAGGGGCCTGGAACGCCATGGGCCTTAGGGCGACCACGCGGGGAGACTGCAAGTACGGCTTACCTCGGGCCCTCGGCTCGATCCATGGATACAGAGCCCAGCGCGGAAATCTGGACCGTTCGCGCGGCCACTCCCACGGGGCCCCGCCACCCGGCCGCCCATTGGCTGTTCGCGACCTTGTGCCCCCCCTACTTCCGGATAAGGCTGGCGAATGCGTCCAACATCTCCTTCTCGCTGATTGGCGGTGTCAAAGGTCGAGTCCGTGACGTCAAGAAAGCAGGGACCAATTAGAGCACAGAAAACTGCGCTTTCCGGAACGCCCTTAGCCTTCTTGGGAAGAAGGTGGCCGCAGTCTGTCGTGGAGTTGGACGGTTTCTGAGCGTTCGTGTCCCTCACCCGCCATCTCCCTTCCTTTGGTTCCCACGATGCCGATGTACCAGGTAAAGCCCTATCACGAGGGCGGCGCATCTCTCCGTGTAGAGCTTCCCACCTGCATGTACCAGCTTCCCAACGTGCACGGCAAGACCAACAGTCCCGCGCCAGCCGCGGGCCACGTGCAGGTAGGAGCGCGCAACCCCTGCTCTACCTCCCCCCACCAGCTCACTGCGCAGGCGCCAAGGTCCCGTTCCCACTGCCGGCGGTCCGGTGCGCAGGCGCCCTGGCTCCGCTGTGGCCCCGCCCCGCCTCCCTCTTGCTCGGTGCGCAGGCGCTGCGGCCGC